TACTTCAGAAAAATCAATTTGATTCCACAAGGGGTCACTCGAAAACTGATGCCGGTGTTGAGCTGATTAAATATATTTTTAATGCATGGAAGAATTCACAGCATGCTTTGGGTATATTCTGTGACCTATCCAAGGCCTTCGATTGTGTTCACCATGAAGCATTAATCAGGAAACTTCAACACTACAGTGTAAGAAGTGATGCTTTTAAATTAATTATTTCATATTTAAGTAACAGAATGCAAAAAGTTGTCATTAACAGTATGAGCTTTTGTTTGTGCTATTGTTTTACAGAAGAGAGCCATAAGAGCAATTTATGATTTAAAGCCTAAAAAGTCGCTGCGACAAAAATTTATGGAAATTAATATATTAACTTTGGCCTCTCGATACATTTATGAAAAATAATGTACGTGCACAAAAATAAAAGTAGTTTTACAATAATAAGTGATATTCATTTTGTAAATACTAGGAACAGGCACAAGCTAGTAGTACCAGTTACTCAACCGCACCGAGTCAGTAATTCATTCTTGGGGCGATGTATCGCTTTTTAAACTAAATCCCAGAAAATATACAAAATTTGACCTGCTCAAAGTTCAAAAACTTTATTAAACAAAGTTTGAATAAAAAGGGTTATTATATATTTAGGAATTTATGGATGATAATAACCTCTAGGAATGAGGTGATCGCTATCAAGCTATTTCTAATTTGTTGTGTTGTTAATTGTGTAACATACATTATTGTAAGCTATTATTTTAAAAAAAGTCCCGCTGGGTTTCTTGCTGGTTCTTCCCAGGTACGGAGGTTTTTTTTCGAACCAGTGGTAATTGAACAAAAGAGTGACTTTCAATAAGTATTATTTATAATCTATACTGAATAAAAAAGATTCTGTTTCTGTTTCTGGAATGGAAAAGAAAAGAGTCGTTGTGTTAAACAAATACGCTTACGGGTCCAACAAAAGTTTTCACTTAACCTTGTCGTAACGTTTGCAATAAATTAGCTTAAATAAAACCGCTGTCTAAAAATCATGTAGAGACAACTAAACCTTTTCCAAGTCATTGACGCAATCAACACCTTACCATCACCCAACATAACTGCTTCCGTGTTACGAGTATCTACACCCCTACCATCCGGATTGCTCGAAAAGTTTTCAAAAGGAAATAAATCTCTAGTTCCTACACTAAAAAAGACCTACATCAAGCTCGTGCCCAAGCAGAAAGTTCTACGGTTACGACAGAAAACAATAGGTACTGGTCAATGGTCATCGAGTTGTAGCAAAGCCATCAGTTTTCGTTCCCGTGTCTAAACATTGTGTTAGAACGATACGACCTCCTAGCCGAGTGATTGAGAGTCTACTGAGTACACGGTCTCATCAATCTGAACGAGGACGAATGTTAAAAATAGGTTCGGCCTATCGACCTCCTTTTGTATTGCCTCATATTTCTTCTACGTTCATAAAATACTGTATTTCTTCCAACTTCCATGTTTTGTTAATACTTTGTTATAAACTTTTACCGCAATTACTGAGCCATGATAAAATTATAGCGACCTTAGCTGATGCTTATGGCGCTTATCAGCACCAAACTGGAATTTAGGTTGTGTATATATTCTTTCTTTTAATTTTTCAATCTCCCCAAATGGAACTACTTATATCTGAATCGTTTGAGTACTTTGTTTGGCTTAACTTATGTATTCCCAATATATTAAAACTGAATCCGACGTATGCGTTACGTGGTAGAGCCATGCTGCAGCTATATTTCTGGTATAGTTGTAACACGAATGGGTCGGCTCAACCGGGAAAGGACCAAGCTCTCACAGAATACCAGCGTAAAATAGCAGCTTAATGCTGCTGTGTTTCGTGTGGTGAGTGTAGAGAACCAGAGACCCTTTTTACTGGAAACGAGGCATTCCATCTTAGTCCTCACGGGTGACAACGCATCTGCATTTTGATTCGTAGTCGAGGATAAATGTAGATGTCTATGGGCCACAGCAACCACTTACCATCAGGTGGACTGTGTGCCCGTTTGTCACTCTTATCCTATAAAAAACATGTAAATAGAAATATCTTCCTTTGTTTAATCTACATCCTAAGTACTTACTACTAGTTACAGAACTACACTAAATCTACATAGGAGCAAAAAGTATACCTACCTAGTCTATTCTGTAAATGTGTACTGTAAACTTATTTTTTTTAATGTCCGTGAGTAAGCTATGTAACTGGTAAATGACTTTCAGTACAATATACACAGAAGAAGCCACATAATTACAATAGATAGCATTCTTAAGATAAGCCAGTCACACGTAACGACTTTTAATCACGAACCATGGATTTATAATCCTTCGAAGAACAAAGACTTAGGATGACATTGTGGTCTCACGGCAGCGTCAAACACGATAATAGAAAAACTATTAATTTAAATATAAGGTCTCACGTTTTACTATGTTTTTTACGTCTGTGATTCTTAAAATAGTAAGTCAAAGTCATGTACGAATCTACGATACACATTACTCGTATAATACAATTAACATAAAATTGAAAATGTGATTTTTTTAAATTAATGCCCCCGCAATCTCCCTTGCGGGTGGAATTTCGTAAAATCCGTTCTTAGCTGACCTCGGCGAAAGGAATATTCAAGTCTCCAGGCCTTATGGTTTCAGAGATATCGTGATGAGTCTGTACATAGGTGGAAATCTCCTTACATCTTTAATTTTGCTTTGCTTTCTTTCTATAATAAATACATTTATAATAATAATAAAAATATCTGGACCTGGCTCACGAGGTGACCGACATGTGTGGTGGTCTGCCGACCGAAATTATTCCAGTGGTCGTTTCTGGCAAATCCCAGTCAGCCTCTCAGGTCATCTGAGGCGACTGGCACTCCGTGACGGACCGCTCCGGACTCAGATGCAGAAAGCGGTGCTCCTCGATACCGCACACATCCTTCGCCGGTTTCTTTCCCTTTCTTCCTAACCCTCGGCCGTTTGGTCTCCTGCCGAGGGCATCCATCTGGTTGGATTTTTATTTATTTATGTACTTTTATGTATTTATTTTATTTTATTGATATTTATGTACCTATATTTATCATTTTCATTTGCATTTATATATTTAAACAGGCCAGATGAGATGAGAAAACTATATAGATACCCCACATAATAATAATATCTTTATTTCTACCAACAAGGATTATATTACATAATTAATATAATTAGGTATTAACATAGCCTATTGTTAATAATTAATTATAATAATAAAGAAAAGTTATGTAAAAATAAATAATTAAGAAAATCAATAAAAATCTTTCAATAAGAACCTTTGTTGATTTCAGATTATTTATTTGCCAGTACATGAACCATACACCAATGGTACAGGTACTGACAGTCAACTCTATTCGAGAACATCATTAGGATGCGCTTTGAGCTGGCCCAGATCGTACGTACCAGGGATGTACATCGCTTACGTATGATCGCGTAGAAGCAATCCACTCTCGCTTCAGCGAACATACCCGATGCGCTGCAGATCCGAGGCAACCCCATTGGCACCCGAAATGCATTATTGTATTGCACGCGCAGGGCGTTGTACTGCTGTTGAGAATAATTAACCCAGAGGTTGCTCGTGTAGAGGGATGTACAATAAGCTTTAAACAGCGTAATCTTTATTTCTGCTGTGCAACGAGCAAACCTGCGAGCTATCATATTAGCTCTTACAGACAACGACCTGCGCTCTCTATCAATATCTAAATTGTCCCTCAGTTCAGAGGTTACTAAGTAAGAAAGAAAGATAGGTATCTAAAATGTTCTACTCTCTTCAGAGGGATTCCAGCTAAGTGGACTTTTGTTTCTAGCTTGAAAGATCATATATTCACTTTTACTTACATTGTATTTTAGTCCATGACTAATAGTATATTTCTCACAGATGCCTAGTAACTTACTTAGGCCACAGATAGAGACACTCAGCAGCACCATATCGTCCGCGTAGCTAATATTATATTTATACTCGTAAAACACAAAAATCTTCCTCTTTAATAAGATAATACTTAAGTAATATTCTGCCATCAGTTTGTTTTGCAACGCAGTGCTTCCGTAATAATAATTCTTGGGATACTGAAAAGAGAAATCTATATGAAATAGATAAATGATGAGATTATTGTTTATTCCTTGTACAAATAAACGAAAGCTCTCCTCTCAGCCTCCTTTCACTAATGTCTATTGATTCGCACAAAGATCTTCAACGATGATAAAATAGATCGCATCGTCCGAATACACGCCGAGTGCGGTCAACGAAGTTGCGCCCGAGAGAAAATAAATCTTCAATTGGGTCAATCAAATGCCACGCCAGGCTAAATGCTTGGTCCATCGCGGTTTAAGCTTACCTTTCCATTCAATATTGCCCAACTTGATTGTGTTTTTTACCTTACTCTGCAAAGCAAAAAACATGCACATATAAAAGTAATTTAAGTTCTAGTTATTACATATTATTTGGCGCTTTTTGGATTATAGAATACTTGTTCCTTTGGGTAATCCATGTCCACGTAGGTAATACTTTTCATAAGCAGGTGATGTACCCATTTTATAAATATGCACTTGTCAAAAAACAGTCTGAAAAAAATAATTTTCAGCTGTAAAGGCGTATCTTTGATTTTATTTGATTTTAGTAAGATATTGCTATTATATACCTTTTTTTATAACATTTATTTTAAATATTCAAAGGATATTTTAAACGTAACGGTATAAAATTAGCGACCATCCTAAATATTTAGAATATTCAATCTAATTATAAAAAAGTGAGTAATAATGAGCAAAACACGGGAAGCATAATATTTTTGGAATATCTACATAAAATTCACAATAAAGGTATAAGAATTTATGCACAAACCATATTCTTGTATTTGTATTTTAACTATAGATTGTATATATTAAGCATTTTCATGACGCACGTTATGATTTTTAGAGATTCTTATTTTTACTATTTAAGAGTTTTAATATGATAATATTATTACTTTTCACAGATGGCACAGTTACTAACTGTGCGGCTGAATAAGTCCGATCAGCAGCCATTGGGTTTTCGGCTCCAGGGCGGCAAAGACTTCGGAACGCCTCTCATTGTTCAAAAGGTGAGTAAATAAATTAACAAACAACAATAATAAAAATAATAATGTTATGTCGTTTAAATGATATTGCAAGTATGAAAAAAATATTTTTTAAATCCTATTAAACATTATAATTGTGGTTGTAGGTAATATAATTTAAGCATTTTGCAGCTGTGTACGTGATTTAATATAATATGTATCCTAGTAATAAACTATTATACAAATAAGACTGTTTCTTATTAGGATTAGGTATAATGACATCTTAATAAACTTCTTATTAACACATACGCGCTGGAGCAGCGTTGTGGCCAAGTTGCTCTGGAACCCTCTACAAAATGCAAATGCTGCATTTATATATTTAATAAAATTTATAATGCAGCATTTGCATTTTGGACACATTTTTAAATAAATAATAAACGAAATAAATACAACTAAAGACGTATACGTGGTAGAGCCATGGTGCAGCTATATTAGTAGTATAGTTGTAGTACGAATGGGTCGGCTCGACCGGGGAAAGATCACGCTCTCACAGAATACCAGCGTAAAATATCAGCTTAACACTGCTGTGTTTCGTATGGTGCTTTTTACTGGAAAAAAGCATTCCATCTTAGTCCTCACGGGTGACAACGCATTCTGCATTTTGATTCTTTATTGAGGATAGATGTAGATGTCTATGGGTCATAGCAACCACTTACCATCAGGTGGACTGTGTGCTCGTTTGTCACCATATCATATTAAAAAAAATAAAGAACCATTGATCTAATGCAGATGCAGTTTAAGTAGTTTCAACATAAAACATACCCCCTGAATATGATATTCGCACCTACTACTCTCAGCGTCTGTCGTCTGAACTTTGTTAATGGTCAAAGCCTCAGAAAGTTTAACTTAAGCTGAGTGGAAACTAGATTAAAAAACCGGCAATCGTTCATAAGCAACATCAACTAAGAAAATAATACAAAAGTAACTAGGTAATGAAAATCTTATTTATTTATTTAAACCTTGTCGTACAAAAAAGGTCAAAAGCGGATTTAACGCCTTATTCTCTACCAATTAACCTATTAAATAAGCAGAGGACACTACGTTAGAGGTGCAATAAGATTTGTGAAAGAAAGAATTAAAGATCAACCAAATAACTATAAGAAAACTGATTTAGTATATGTATTACTTATACCTATATAAATATATATTCATAAACACATACACACACATATACTTATATATAAAATATTATTAATGAATAGATAGATAAAGTCATATATTAGGAACTATATATCGTAACAAATTGTTGAAAAAACAAAAAGGCATAAAAATCAGAATTAAGCTTGTGGAGTGTCAAGAAAAAGGTTAGTGACCACTTTCTTAAAGGAGATTATGGATGAAGCCGTTCTAATAAAACTCACCGCTTGACCTTCAAAATAAACATAAAACCAGAAAGAGTAAAATATAAAAGAACTTGGAGAGAAAGTTTATAAACAAAACGAAGACAGTGCTAGAGCCACGCGGCAGCTTTTGCTGTCGCACGGATGGGCCGGCTCGAACCGGAGTGGTACCACGACCTCATAGAATACCAGTGTGAAGTAGAGGTTTACCTCTGCGTTTCGCTTGGTGAGTGTAGGTGGCCGGAGACCCTTTTTACTGGAAATGAGGCATTCCATCTTAGTCCTCACGGGTGACAACACATCTGCATTTTGATTCGCAAACGAGGATAGATGTAGATGTCTATGGGCTGCAGCAGCCACTTAGCATCAGGTGGAATGTGTGCTCGTTTGGCAGCCTTATACTATAAAAAAAGATGTAAATCGTAAGCATCATAAGAAAAAGATAATTTAGTTTAAAGGTACAAGGAAGTGCGTGGATCAAATAAAATGGAGAATAGAGTGCGTGGTATCCTAAAAGATCTACGTTGTTGAACAGGCAACCACTTTAGTCGAGTGCGGAAATCAGAAATATAGTCATGTTTAAATAAACCTAATGCAGTTGTTAAGAAATCGTTCCGATTTGTTAACAAGAATTTGATTTTCATCAGAGTAATAAGCATCAGCATAGTCGATGAAGGAAAGTACCAATGACTGCACCAGCAATATCTTTGAATATGTAGGTTCAAAATCTTTTTGTTCCTTTTACCCTTGTTTTAATAATGATCAATGATCATGTAATATTTAAACCCAATTTTTTACAATAGTACACATTTCTTTTCTACGTATATAACCAATCGTTTAGTCAACGCAATCCTATCAAATAGCGCTTTTTTATACGTAATTTAAAATTTACATTAATTTTTTTTTATTTCTTGACCGATTTAAATGACACTAATACTCAAAATTATCCCAAGATTATATTCATATATCACTGAAAATCACATCCAAATTGGCACGGACATTGTGAAGATTAGCGTGTACAAACGCACAGACAAGCAGACAATATCTAAAGACGCTTACGTTTTTATTATAAATAGATAACCACATATTACCTATGGCTTAAGAAGGACAAAAGAAAACAAATGATCAGCAGTGCCGTCTGAAGACAGCGTCGCCCACGTACAATCACTGCGTTCCACGACAAAACCTGACTTCGATAACATGAAACATTTCTCTGATACAAAAAACTCTTACTGCAAAAAATGTAAGAAAAAACTGTCAATGTACAAGATGAAGAAGAATATACAGGAAAAGTATAAGCAAATATGTTAAGGCTTGTTCAGTTGTTCATGTTTTTGTTATTCGTCTGTCATGTTTTGTCAATTTTTTTCAGCTGTGTACTGTATTCGAATAGGTGATTAGTTATCTAAAGGAGTTTTTACCGCTCATTAACTGGTTGACTGGCCTCGTTAAAGTAGTTTCGACATTCGTCACCATTTAAAGGTCTGTGCATATCGGAGTGGTACTGAAATAGGTTATTTGACCTCCACATGTAAGTCCATGGAACATAAATATAGGTGATTCATGTACATACAAAAAAAAGTAAGTAGATAGATTTGGACTCAAGCAGACCTATAATAATATGTAAGAGGGAAGATTATATAGATACGTGTTTTTTTTTAATAGGTATATGTCGTATCGCGTAAAAATTCACTCGATAAGTCTTAGTTATAATTTAGTTCAACATAGATTAAAAATAAAAAATCTTCACAGATGCACAGAATAAATAATAGTACAAGAAACAGATGTCAGAAAGCGAAATAACAAATATTCGTAGATTCTTAAATATAATATGTTAATTTATGCCGTTATAATAAGGAAATATTTAAACAAACATAATCGGAAGTTTAGTGACGATGTAAGAATATCCACTACTACTACTCCCGTGGGTGTCGTAACAGGCGACAGAGGGAAATTGGGACAGGAGATGAGCAGCAGCATTTTCCTGATAACAATCTAAATAATAAAAAAAACTGCGGTTGCCAACCCGCTTGCCAAGCGTTGCAACTACTGCAAAATCCCCCCTATGAAGCAATCTATGGAGGAGGCCTATGTTCAGCAGTGGACTTTTATAGGCTGTAACGGATAGATGGATGGATAAATCAGAAGTTTTTTGAAGATCTGGTCTTCAAATTTTTTTCGATTAAGAAGCTTCTAGTGAATTTCATGATAAATTAGTTACTTAATTAAATTAGTTTATGTTACAGATTTAATAACCAAAATACCATTAAGGTACAATGTAGTCTGACCTAGAAAGACTAATTTAAAAATATCAATTGTTTTTGCTTATTTTTTGACCTTAAGAGTAAAAATATCTTGGCATCACGCCTGCCAAGATGTAAACAGCATAATGTTTCACAATCTATCAATTCTTTCTATGCCATACATTTCGGTCATGATGTTTAATGATGTCAAAATAACAACCGTAATGACGTTGATCTCCTGGCCTCAACGGTACTTTTGCTTGAATAATTGGCGATAGGTTTTATTGCTGTACGTTAAATGCGGCTCACTTACTTACTAAATAGATTCTAAATAGACTATTTGAGATATAAATCTTGGAAAATCTTATCCCTGGTATAGTCAATCATGTATGTATCGAGGTTTGGTCAAATCCACCCTTACGACAGATTCTAAATTTAATGCATGATATCGAACTTCATACCAGTGAAGTATTAGAAAGCGGCAAGATGTTCTAATACATATTATATATCTACCACGACTAAATCGATTAGATTATAGATATTCCAGTAGGTGGTTGACTATTATCAAGAAATACCCATTATACTAGAGGCGGACACGAGTGTTTCACTATACATATTATAATGATTCCCTTCAAACTTATTGTTGTAGGCACTGTTGAAACTGGAAAGCCCAATTAATATGAGTGGTGTAGAATCAGCTGATGAAGTATTCGATTAAACATTTCTCATGCGTTTCTAAATAACTTCTCTTGTTATCATTAAACAGTTTTACGTGATACCTAACTACACATCTTTTGCCAACTTGACTGCCGTCTGTTTCTTATTTAAAATTTTCCACTTTGGAAAATCTTTAACATTTTTTGTTGGGAGTCCACTGATTCTTATGTCCGAAGTTACTGTTATAACTTCATAATCATAAAATGGCAATGCTCTGCTGTCATAAATTGTTCTATAAGGACTAACAGCGCAAAAAACACTTTCTGCATACTAAATAATATCTACTCTAGACTAAAATTAAATATGAGTGACGGTTAAGGTTGTTTCACTGATCACAATAGCCACGCCTTACTTTCCTGCTACCCGCTAGCCAACTTACCTGTTAGGTACCTGTAACTTCTGTTTACAGGCAATGCTGCCATAAAGGAAGTAGGATGGCATCTATCCGTAGATCGAATAAGGGCAAGTAACAACCTTAAGTAACTAAATCTATACATATAATAAAACTGTAAATAGCAGATGTCTGTACATTTTATATTTTTGTAATAAAAGTGATTAAGGGGTACTAAAAATAAGTAATTAAATACATTTCTACCATTTTTAGAATTTTCTGTCTGTCTGTCTGTCTGTCTGTCTGTCTGTTTGTTTGTTAACGTATCACGTATAAAGTACTAATTTATATCAT